CAGACGGGGCTGGGGGGTGGGGGGGAACAGAATGCAGACCCAGGCCCGCAGCCCACAGCCGGTCCCCCTCCCCATCCGCTCACCCGCCAGGCAAGTTCAGATGAGGGCATGCACCGGAAGTGGTGCCACCACTGTGGGTGTTCTAGATAGATGCACCCAAGAGACCCCCAAGATTCTCCCCCATGCAGACACACCCCAAGCCTCCACCGCCCCCCCAACACACACACACACACACACAAGACAGGCTGGGGTGGTAGCATGATGAGGAAAGACCCAGGGTGCTCCCCATGTGGCACTGGACAGATCAGGCTCCTATTGGGTCACAGGCTCCCACAGGTCTGTTCAAAGTGAGGGTGGGCTAGGGTCTCTAGGGTCTTCCCAGCCCTGCAGTTTCCAGGTACTGGGTGCAACCTGAGCTGGGGTGTGGGAGTGTGGGATTCGGCTGGGCATCGCTGCCCCCAGGTGGAAGTGGGTGGTACTGCAGCAGCCCCAGTCTCCCTCACCTGCCCTGTCCTTGGAGTGGGTTTCCTGGGGAAGGTCACCGGCACAAGCCGCCCAATGCCAAAGATGCCACCATCATGAACACAACATGTTAGGTTCAGCATTGTCTTTCGGTACCCCTTCTCCAAGGGAAGAACATCAGAACCCCTAACGTCCAAGCTCAGAGGGTCTTAGAACAAAGGGGTAGAGGACCCTGACTGGGAGGGACTAAAATTCAAGCTCTCGAGCCCCGCCTTCCAGCTGGCCCATGATGGATGTGGACCTCGGGCCCTCGGGACATGAGAGATACCAGCCAGCTGTCCCACACCAGGACCCTCCACCACACCAACAGGTCTCAGCCAGGAGGGGGCCCTCAGCCTCGGCCTGCCCGAGGGCCCCACTCCAGCAGAGGGATCAGGCTGCGGAATGAAGAGGCTCAGAGTGACTCAGGGCCTGAGAGTGGAAGAGTATACAGTTCCTTGATCCCCTCCCAGGCCCCATCCTCTGGGTCCCCATTGCCCAACACGGAAACCCCTCAGTGAGCCCCCAGGCCTCCTCTGAACCCCCAATATTTCCATTTGGGGTTCTAAGGAGAAACACTTTCAGCCTCTCCCCCCTCCCACCCCTGCTGGCCCCTTAGTGGCCCTCACCCAAGAAACAGATGCCACCTGAGAGTCCTGTCCCAGCCATTAGAAACTATGGGCCCCAGTCAGTGTCACCTGCCCTGTTTCTCAGGCTCTCACCACCCCCGCGCTCCCAACCTTGGCACCACTTCTCCTGAGGTCCCCCCTCCAGCAGCTCAGCCTCTGCCAAGTCACCCTTGATTATTTTTCCAGGAGAGTCTGGCCCTGAGCATCTGGGAGACTCTGCAGCCCAGGCCCTGGGAGGCTCCGCTCCGGGTCCTGGAAAGCACAGAGTTCAAGGGGATGAGAATGGGGATTCCAGCATTCTCACACCCTCAAGTCCTCGAGTTCATTTTGGACATGGAATCTATCAAGAGGGAATCCTTTCTCAATCCGCACCCCACTGAGCTCCCAGCCCGAACGAACCTCTTCTCATTCAGGGCTCCCAGTCCTCAGCCCGGAACACTCAGAGGAACGCTTACTGCCCTGCCCATCAGGGAGCTCCAGCGGCGCTGAGCAGGGTCTCACCTCTGCAGCTCCAGCTCGAGCGCAAGGTGTGCATGGCAGATGCTCAGCGAATGCGGGAGGGAGGAAGGGATGGATGGATGGATGGATGGACGGATGGATGGACGGATGGACGGATGGGTGGCTTCTGGTACACAGTATGTCAGCACCCCACAGACTGGGCAAACAAAACAGTCAAGTCTTCAAACAGGTTAATCCAGGAAATCCACTCCACGGGGCTCCCCTCTGCAGATATTCACAACCCCCAACCCGCACCCCATGGCGCTTATTTAGCTCTGATTACCTACCAAGGCCAGCAAATCAGGTCAGGCCCCTACACGTCAGCACTGTAACTTGGGCAGTCTGGACCACTGGCGTAACTGCATCCCCTGACCAGGGCTCCCTGCATCAAGGCCAAGTCAGCAGGGGCCAGCCCTAGCGCCCGCCTCCGCCCAGTTGCTCCCAGTGAGAACACAGTTTTCTCCCTGGCCTCGCCAAGACACAGCTAGAGGCACCTCTGGGGCCCAGAGAAGGTTCCAGTGATTCACAGAACGTTCCCCGAAGTCTCACTCTGTCACTCAGTCGCACATATCTCGGCATAAGGACGGGTCACGGCCAGGGCTGACTGGTCCATCCACACTGTGGCCGCAGCGTGGAGCCCACAATACCTTCAGGGCCCACAAAAATCTTTCGGTTTCTTATAAAATCAGCAGGAAAAGAATACAATCCGGGCTTCTAGTCCATTATACCAGCTTAGATTATATTAGTCTTTATACCTATGCAGTCAGAAAACATGCTTTTTAAGTATTTTTTGATGGAGGAAGGGGCCCACGAAGGCCAAAGGGCCCAGCGATGTCCAGACTCAAGATTTCTCGTAAGAAGCAGACAACAGCAAGAAGAGCAGCCAACACTTACATGGAGTTTGCCGAATGCCAGGCACGCCCTGCAGTAAGAAGCAGTACCATTTTTTACTCCCATTTTACTGATGAGGGCACAGAAGCACAGAGAGGTTGAGCCATTAACACAAGGTCACACAGCCAGGAAGCCATGGCTCTGGGTTTTCCCTCCTTCACGAGTGTGGCCCAGCAGTAGGCAAAGCCCGCAACATCCCGTCTCCAGAATGTGAAGCAGATGAAGGAGACCTCGGTTTTCCCCAAGCCTCCAAGCCAGGAAGTTCCCCTAAAGCTGATGCTGTCTCCACCTCCAAGCAGCCAGCAACTTCCCTCCCAAAAGAAAGGTCAGTTTCTCTGGGGACATTCCAAAAAAGAAAAAAAGCAAAGACTCTTCGTCTGGGACCTCACTCCTCGGGTCCCTGCGCGTTTGTGGCTATCCCTATGTTCGGGTGCAGGTTCGAACGTGGGGCACGTGGCTCTGCATGCGTTACAGATAAGGGGGTGCTTCCTATGTACAACGCTGGTGCATGCGTGTCTGTGGATATGGAGGCGTGGGTGTGCGTGTCTGTCTGTCTGTCTGTGCTCGTGCAGCTACGGGAAGGTGCACGGGACTGAGGTGGGCACCGAGAGATTGCTGTATGTCCGAGGGGAAACCAGCAAACTTCCACACGTAGAAGACCGGTTCATCATTTCCCCAGGTTGCTCGAGAGAAACTGAGGCCCATGGGCACCTGGGTGGCTCAGTCAGTGAAGCGTCTGCCTTCGGCTCAGGTCATGACCCCAGGGTCCTGGGATGGAGCCCCACATCGGGCTCCCTGCTCAGGGGGGAGCCTGCTTCTCCCTCTCCCTCTGCTGCTCCCCCTGCTTGTGCTCTCTCTCTCTCTCTTTCTGACAAATAAATAAGTAAAATCTTAAAAAAAAGAGAGAGAGGGAAACTTAGGCCCAAAGAACTTGCCCAAGATCCAGGTCCCTAAGTGAGCTAGAAACCAGGAGCCTTCTCTCCAGCTGCCTGAGCCCTGTCGCCCCCAAGATCTGCCACGAAGCTCGGTCCACATCTCCGTGTCCAACATTAGTCTGCAGGCCAGGCAGACCCTTTGCAGAGCTTGGCCACCAGCTGCTCTGGGTCTGAGGTGGATCGGCAGTAGCCACTGACCCCGCTGTCAGGACCGGCCCCTCGAATTCAACAGAAAGTTCCCCACAGCCTGAGATCCCAACACCCCAGGCCTGGGGCTTGAGATCATCACAGCAGGACAGACCCTCTTATCCATACCCTTACACTCCCTGTCTTTATGTCTCTTTTTATCAAAACTTTCTTGATTTTTATATTACCAAAGTAATGCATGCTTGTTTTTAAAAAGAATCTAAGCTGTATAAATTACATAAGTTAGAGTCCTTCCCTACCCTCAGATACCCACTGTTAACAGCAGAGTGCAGAGTTTTCTGAATTGCTTTTAGGAAATAATTCCTAAGGTGAGCAGTGGGCTCAGTTCAAAAAACGACTTCCAAGGAGCATCAGATGAATAGAAAGGGGAGGGAGAGCAGAATCTAACTGGGCCGGCCAAAGTCAGGCCTTGGCTCAAATGGCTTACTACAAGGCCCTACAACGGATGGGCTGACCCCAAACTGCCAGGGCTCTGGATGGAAATTCTGGACACGCAGAGCTTTGGACCCACCACAAACCCACCGCAAACCCAGATCTGCCGCTTGACCCTGACATTCAAGTCATGGAGTCTTGGGACTGACAGGAGCCTGGGATGCATCTGGTCCTATGCACCCATTTTAGAGACAGGGAGAAGAGGACTTTGCAGGGAGATAAGTGGGTTGGCTCTGGGGAGGAATTTGGCCAACTGGGCACCTTCCAGGGGCTGCCTGGACCTCAGCTTCCATCTGGGGCAGGAAGGCAGGGGGCACCCCAAGACCAGAAAATATTAGTCGAATGAAGGAGAAAGAGGAGAGGAAGAGAGAGAAGGAAACAGTGTATCACTGTAGGATGAACCCCAGCCCGGTGTCAGAAGTCCTGACTTCAGACCCTGGCTCGGGTGCTGCCCCACTGTGTGACCCTGGGCAGTCACTGACCCTCTGAGTCTCGGCTTCCTCCTCTTCCTTGAGCAGATAAAATCATCTCCTTCGTGTTGTTGGGACAATTGGGTGACTACAAGAAGGACCAGGCACAATGCCCAATAGATGATAACTAAAGAGAATGAGTTAGGGAGAGAGGATGAGAATAGGCTCCAGGCAGAGAGGTGGGGGGGTCCCCCAAACCTGCAAGCCTCAGAATTTGCTGTCTCAGATTTGGGAGATCCATGCCTCTGAGCCAACCCCACCTCCTGCCCAAATTAAACAGTAACCACCCAAGGTCAGGGAAAGGGCCTTGTCAGAACAGGTTTCTTTCCAAGGGGTGGCTCAGCCTTGAGCAGGTGGGCCCACCCCCACACCTGCCTATAAGTGAGTCCCCACCTGCTTCAACAGCCACTCGGTCCTCAGCCAGTCCCACTAGCAGCATGTTAGGTGTCACTGTCTTCGCCACGCTCCTGGCCTGTGGTAAGCTGTGGGTTGGGAACCAGCTGCAGCCAGCTGTCTCCCGGGGACAAGGAGAGGAGCAGGGGGCCCAGAAAAGGAGTTTTGGGGTGACCAGCTGCATGTCAGCTAAGCCACTTACCTGCTTAGCAACTCTGCTTTCATATCTGCAGAATAGGGCTGAGGATGTGGCCTGGGGATACAGTAACTACCCATCCTGGGCTCACTCCAGGGACCGTAAAGGCCTAGCTTTCCTAGTGTTGCATCTCTGCCTTGGGGATTGATGCTTGTGCTCACCCGTTTTGGGGGCCTTCTCCCAGATAGGAATCAAGGCACTTGGCTTGACTGTCACTTACTCTCAGCAGGACCTTGACAAGCCCCTTTACCTCTTTAAATCTCACTGACTCTTTTGACAAATGAGAGCACTTGATTAAGAGTCCTTCCAGCTAACAACAACAACAGTCATAAATAATAATAGCAGCTCCTGTTTGTTGCATGGTTACTATGTGCCAGGCACTGTGCTAAGCCCTTTACATTCAGGAGCTGATATGATCCTTGAGAGGCAGGGCCTATCAATATCTCCATTTTACAGATAGGAATGAGGCTCAGTATCTTGCCTAAGATCGCATGACTGGTTAGTGGTAGAGCTGGAATTTGAGACCGGGTCTGTCTCCATGCAGAGCACATGCTCTTGACCTCTCCACACAGCTCCCCACCTCTGACAGTCTGAACCCTTGGATTCAGTGCTTGCATACCCCCATTATGCTGTGGTCTAAAAAGGGACCACAGGGTAAGGATGAAGGACACAGGTAGACCTGGGCGCACACACACCCCTACTTTTGTATTTCCTTCAGTGTGTTCAACATTCACTCTGTTCCAGGCCTTTCACCAAACTCTTCTTATGCATTGTCTAATTTGAGTCTTCGGGACAAACTCACCAGGTTAGCGCCATTCTTCCCATTTCACAGAACGGGAAGCTGAGGCCCAGAGAGCTGGGTGGCTTCCCCAAAGCCGTGCAGTGAAACCTTAACCAATGTCCGCCCAGCCCCAAAGTCTATGCTCTTTCCCCCTGCCCCTTCCCTGATGGGGACGCCGGCCCCTCTCACCTGTGCGCTTCCTCTCCTGGGTCCCCCAGCCTCCAGCTGCGGGGTCCCCACCTTCCAGCCCAACCTATCAGCCCGAGTGGTGGGAGGAGACAGTGCCAGGCCCCACAGCTGGCCCTGGCAGGTAAGCATGCCGCTGCAGGGGTGGGAGGCGGGCTGGAGAGGGTGGCGCGGTGCGGGTCTCGGGGCTGATGCGTGGCCCTCCTGCGCCTCGCTCCAGATCTCTCTCCAGTACCTCAAGAATGGCAAATGGAGACATACATGCGGCGGCACCTTGATTGCCAATAACTACGTCCTCACAGCTGCCCATTGCATCAGGTAAATGGGGCCGGTGGGAGCCTAAGAAGCTGCTTCTATTGAGCACCTACTCCACACTCCAGGCACCAGGCTAAATAAGCTACTTACATCCAGTAACTCAGTTGTTCACTTACTCATTCAACACGTATTTATTGTGCACCCCCAATGTGCCAGGGAACACAGCAGCCAGGACAAATTCTGTGCATCCAGGGAGCTTAGACTCCAGCAAAAGAGCAACAGGCCATTAAAGAAGTAAATATATAACATATCAAGTGGCAGTGAAGAAAAATAAGGCGGGATAAAAAGTACAAGGGGTCCTATTTTAAATGAGGTGGCCAGGGAAAGATCTCTCTGAAAAGGGGGTATCTGAGCAAAGACCTGAAGGAAGTAAGGGAAAGGTGTCCCAGGCAGAGGGATCAGCGAGTGCAAAGACCGGGAGGAGGGAGCCTACTTGGTAGGTTGGGGAAATAACGAGGAAGCGGGTTCGGCAGGAGCAGAGTGTGTGAGGGGGGCAGGAGGTGGGTGAGAGAGGAGATCATATGGGCAGGAAGCAGTGGTGACTTGGAATAGCTCACCTCGCAGCCGCCTTGGGAGGTGATTCCAAAACTGTCTCCCGCCACACGGATGAGAGAACTGAGGCCTGAGACCACCCACCTAGGAATCAAGATAGACTTGACTCCAAGAGCAGGGTCCTTACCCTGAGCCCTGGGAAGGGTCAGTGCAGATTGTCTATCTGTGGTCAGTACAGAGTGTCTCTCCCTCCCCACCCCCACTCCTGCAAACGATTCCCACGGTGGCCACAGGGCTGGGTCACAAAGCCCTGAGTTCCCTCCCTACACCACTGGCCGGCGAGGGCAGGAAGCCACGCTGACCCAGCCCCCTGCCTCTGCTCAGCAACACCCTGACCTACCGTGTGGCCCTGGGGAAGAACAACCTGGTGGTGGAGGATGAGGAAGGCTCCGTGTTTGCAAATGTGGACTCCATCATTGTCCATGAGAAGTGGAACTCCCTCCTGGTGCGGTGAGTGCTGACCGTCTCACGGCCCCCAGGGGGAAGCGCGCAGGAAGGAGGGGGTCCCCTGACATGAAGCTGCAGAGCCTGCCCCCACCCTGTCCCTGGACCATTGTTCCCATTTCACAGAAAGGGAAGCTGAGGCCCAGAGAGCTAGATGGCTTCCCCAAAGCCGTGCGGTGAAACCTGAACCAATGTCCGCCCAGCCCCAAGGTCTATGCTCTTTCCCCCTGCCCCCTCCCCGCTGAAAAGCCAGCAGATGGCCCCTTTATACAAAATGGGAAAATGCTAAGTGGAGACAGACTCCTCTCCCATCTTGCTCATGGGTCAAGCTTTCCCAGGGGTACACAGGGAATAAAAACCCCGAGGCCCCCACGATGTCTTGCCTGAAGTCTCTGAGCCAGGACTCACCTTCATGGAGTGCGTATGGCATATGCCCATGTGGCAATAAGCACTTTATATACCACGACTTATTTAATCCTCACGACAGCCCTAGACAAGGACCCGAGACTCAGAGAGGTTAAGAAATATGCCCCAGGTCACACAGCCCAGTGTGTGGCAGAACGGGGAATCAAACCAGGTCTGTCTAGGGTCACCAGCTTTCATTCTGTTAACGTGAAAATATTAAAAATTGCACCTGCCAGGGCCCCTCTTTGATCATTTCCAATTGGCTCTTGTTTCTGGTTAATACATAGCCTGCAATGGCTCGGAAAGCTCCTGCCTCCCCACCGTAGAGCCCTACAGGACCCGAAGGCACAGGAGGCAGATGCCTCCTCTAAAGGGGCGGGCCATGGCCTTAGAAGGCGGATCGTTTGTCCAGTAAGGAACTGGCGGTCTAGGATATTCATGGAGGACTCCTGGTCACCCTAGGCTTGACTCCCAGCTGACAGTCTGGGCTGCTTAGCACTGACTTGTGCGGCCAAGGCCCTCCTACGCACTCACCACCTCCGCTTTGGCTTCCAGCAACGACATCGCTCTCATCAAGCTGGCGGAGCCCGCGCAACTGAGCAACACGATCCAGGTGGCCTGCCTGCCGGAGGTGGACTCCCTGCTGTCTCAAGACTACCCCTGCTACGTCACAGGCTGGGGCCGCCTCTGGAGTGAGTACAGCCCCTCCTCCCTCCGCCCCCCCCACCGCATATCATGAGAGCCTTCCTGGAGGAAGCAGCTCCTGTAATAAGCATACCAACCACATTTGCCCACCACTTTTCCTTTCTGTCTAAACATCTTCTCACCTTTTTTACCTTTGTAATAATAACAGCTAATATTTACTAAGCATGTACCACGTGGCAGACACTCTAACAAGCACATAGAAGGGGTGTTGTGAGGATAAATGGATTAGAAGTTGTCAGGTGCTTAGAACAGTGCTTGGCGCATACTTAGTGCCATCTAAGTGACTACAAAATAAACTAAATAAGCCATTGGGGGTAGGGGATTAGCGCTTACGGTAAACCGGATGCCTAAGTTAAAAGGTTGCATGCAAATAAATGAAAGTATGGGAGACTTAGAAGAAAATGCAGGTCAATACTTGGAAAATTCTGGAGTGAGAAAGACCTCTACCGACGTGACACGGAAGTCAGAGACCTACAGGAAGTGATTGACAATGGAAACCGCAGAATCCAAATTAAAGATAACTCCATGGTGATTCCTCTAGGGCTTTCTACAGATTAGTTCTGCCGCCGGTGGGCTCCCCCTGTTCCACCCTTAGAGGGGTCCTGACCCACACTTTGGGACCATAGGCTCGGAGTTTACCTCTCGATTAAGGGCCCATGTGTGGGTCCCACAAAGTCTAGCCAGAGCTCACTGGGTCCTGCCCCGGCCCCATCCAGCCATCTCTTCCCTGAAGGCTCGGCGCTGCCTGGCTGACGCAGGGCCACCCTCTGTCCTCCCTCCCAGCCAACGGCCCCATTGCCGACGAGCTACAGCAGGGCCTACAGCGCGTGGTGGATCACGCCACGTGCACCCAGAAAGACTGGTGGGGCAACATGGTGAAGGACACGATGGTGTGTGCGGGGGGTGACGGTGTCATCTCAGCTTGCAACGTGAGTGTCCAGGGCCCTGCGCCCCGTCCCTCCTCCAGATGGCCGAGTGAAAGGGGGCAGTGAGGAGGGCAAAGGAGGGTGGGAGTGGGCGAGCCACACGAGTGAGCCAGTGAGCCCTTTCCCTGGTTGGGCCCAGGAGGCTTAGGGGAAACTTGTCACCCCCACCCCTGAGCACTGCGGCGAGGGCAGGAGTATCCGAGGTGGTGTCCCAGTCCCACCACTTGGTAGCCGTGCCATCTCACGCAGGCTGCTCACCCTCTCTGCACCTCAATTTTCCCATCTATAAAACGGGGATGCCGTGAGCACGGGGCTGGTGTGAGGACCGAATCTGACAAGTACAGAAGAGACTTCGGTGAAGTCTCTGCACATGCTCCTCCACGCCATCAGCTCCATCGATCCAGGGAGGCAGAGGACTTAGGGAGTCTGACACAGAAACATCTAGAACAATCAGACACTGTCCTGTTTCCAAACACACAGCCCCTTTACCCACTCCCACCTTCCTCACTTTCTCAGGTCTCCAACACCCCTCCGGGCTCCCGGCATCCTCACCTCCCTGGGCAGCTGGCAGAGCCTTACACATAGTGACCTGAATGGCTAGGGAAACCGAGGCACAGAGAGGGTTATCATTAGCCCAAGATCACACAGCAACCTAAGAGCTAGTCTGGCACCCCCAAACTGCATCTCCTCTGCCTCCCTCACCGTGGACAGGCTGAGGCCAAATTAGGGGGCACCGGCCCATATCCCGCACTGTGACCCGCCCACCCCTGCCTCCCAAGCCTGCCTCTGGGGGAGGCCCCATGGCTGACGAGAGCCTGGTCTGGCACAGGGGGACTCGGGCGGCCCACTGAACTGCCAGGCTGAGAACGGTTTCTGGGAGTTGCGGGGCATCGTCAGCTTCGGCTCTGGGCTGGGCTGCAACACTCTGAAGAAGCCCACGGTCTTCACCCGCGTGTCCGCCTACATCGACTGGATCAACGAGGTGGGTGCCTGTCTCCAAGCCCTTCTTCCTGCCCCTCCTTGCCCTTCCCCTACTCACCTGCTCCTTTGCCCACCCGTTCACCCGTTCACTCGTGTGCTTACACGTTCACACACCCATTCGGGAGGCCCCGAGTGCTGAGCTGGGTGCGGTGAGGGGCACAATCACTGACTTCATCCATTCATCCGCTGGCCTCAGCAAATCCTTACGGCTCCATCCCAGGCACCACACACCCGTGGCCCCAGAGTGAAACATGGCCCCATGAGAGCAGGGCCCAGCAGGGGGGAGGGGTCAGCATGGGTGGTGGGGGAACAGAGGGTCATCCTGGGCTCTGAGCCTTCGTGCTGGGGGCAGGGTGTGTTCTGAGCCCCATTTGCCCAGTGGTCTGAAGTGCTGAGGGGCTCAGCAGAGCAAGACTGGCTTGTCAAGACCCAGGGCTGCCTGCCATGCCCCCATTCCTACTCTCGGGCAGTGTTCTCTCCAGAGGGGGCACACACACACCCCTCCACCCAAGTCCCTCACCCTGTTCTCTGCTCTTCCAGAAAATGCAGCAGTGATTCATCCTTGGGAGCCTGCAACCCCAATAAAACTCCTTCCCCACTCAGGCTGCCTTCGTTTCTTGATGTGTGCCTCCCCTGCGGGGTCCCGGGCTCTGTAGGGGCTGCCCCTCACCACACCAGGGATGCAAAGAGAGCCCCCCTCAGCCAGCCTGGTTAGACTGTGGGGTAAGCTGCTGGGGTGCTAATGGAAGGGGAATCTCAGAAAGCCCCATGGTAGCCTGATAGGAGTTAGGACACACCAGACGCTTGCCCCCCAACATTTCACAGGCTGTGAACCACAGTCACCTGATCAAATCACCCCCTTCCTGATCCTTCCTCCACAGAGGAGTCTGGTAGGTCCTCAGGCCCCCCAGCTGCAGGTGGACGATGGAGTCTCCCCAAGAGCAGCTCCCCAACCTGAAAACGATGGCCAAAGGAGGATGCCCGTTACACTAGGTCCCTGAGAAAGAGGCTCCCCAGTAGACCCCCACCCCAGAGCAGACCCCATAACTGCTGTCAGCCTGGGCTCTCTAAGTCGAAAAGTGTTTCATGAGCCCTGACTTATGCCAGCCCTGTGCTGGGCACCGTGAGGAGGACGAGGCCCCAGCGCCTCCCTCAGGGGGCACAGGTTTGAGGAAAAGAGTGGTTTCCACACGTAGTCACAGCAGGTCAGAGCTGGAAAAGCTTGCACTGTATCAGACGGGCAGGGAAACTGAGGCCTGGAGAGAAGACAGAGCTGGGCCAGGTCAGGATGACCAGTAACGCATGACCCCTCGGGGAAGGGAGCCCTCCTGAGGCCAACAAGAGGGCAAGTGGAGCCCAAAAAGAGGGTGATCCAGTGTCCAAGTGGGGCTCCGGACCCCTGAGCATGGTGCTCCTGAGAATGCACTCATCTATGGAGGGAGTGCACCCACCCCGGCTCTGGACTCCTGCTGGGAGCGCCCCCGGCGCAGCCTCTGTCTGGTTGGTCCTGAGCTGTCAGCTTTCCCCCATCAGAGTACGGCTCCCGGAGGTGGGGACCAGACACACCTCCCATACCTTACTAGACCAAGGCGATTCTCAGGAAAGATTTTAGCTACTCAACAAGCGAAGAGGCCCTCAAGCAGCCTGGCATCCACTCAGTCCTGGGACTCCAGGGCTGGTTCAGACAAGATCTCTGTTCTGCAGGAGACAGACGGAGAGATTCCTGAATTCCCTGGTGTGAGTATGGAGGTTGCAGTACAGACCAGGAGCATAGAAAGGGGAACTGCAATCGGTGTCAGTTGGGAGGAAGAGTCTAGGATGGCTTCCTGGAGGTGGTGATGCCTAAGCCCAGTCTTAAAATGTGAATAGAAGGTACCCAAGTATAGAAGATGCTGCTGGTGGCTTGACCCAAACTTCATTCCCAGCCGCCTCCTTTTGTGCCTGTCTCTGTGTCTACTGGAGGTTATAAATGCTAAATAGTTGCTGTCCTCAGGTCCCTTGCAGCTACAATAATAAAATAAAAGCTAACACATATTGAGCACTTACTATGTGCCAGGCACTATTCTACAGGTTTTTGCATATATTACCTCACTGAATCTCCAAAACGACCCTATGAGGTGTTTTACCGATGAAAAAATTGAGGCTAGAGAGGGCTGGTGACTTCCCAAGGTGATTTAACTAGGAGGTGATGGGGCTGGGATCCAGATGTTAGTGATCTGGCTCCAGAACCCATGCTTTTGACCACCATGCTCTTGACCACCATGCTCTAATGCCCTGCAAGAATATGAATATGGATGTGATGCACGGAGCTGAGGCAGCCATATTGTGGCCAAGAGAACTGCAGCTATGAGCTCCACCATCACCAAGCTGCAAATCCAATGCCAGCAACCAGGCTCTGAATGCCTTACTATGTGAAAAAAAATAAACCTGCATTTGTTTTAACCACTGTAATCAAACCTGTATTTGTTTTAACCACCATAATCAGGTTGTCCGTTACCTGCAGTTCGGCACACGCCTCACTGGTACCCGGGGAGATAACATAAGGGATGGTTTTCCTGACGAGAGAGAAGGGCATGGAAGACATCTCCAAGCAGCAGATGTTGCTAGAGCATAAAGTGCAGGGCAGGGATAGAGGGACCAATGATCCTGGTACTGAGTAGTTTTCCAGGATGTGGGCACTTCCAGAGCTAAGACTGGGACAGTCCCAGACAAACTGGGATGGTTGGCCACCCAAGCAGGGAGTGACAAGAGATGTGTCTGGAAAGTGAGCAAAAGCCCTTCACGGACAGCCTTGTGGCTATGGCAGAGGACTGTTGGAACTTTATTCTGAGGGCAGCGGAGAGCCATAGAAAGGTTGTAGATAGAGAAGGGACCCCTGGGTGCAGATATGTACCCCCAAAGTGTGCATCTGACAGCTGTATGCATGGTGATTTGGAGCAGGCAAGAGTGGAGGCAGGGAGGCCAGCTGGGAGGCCATCTGGGAGGCTACTGCAATGAACTAGGACAAAATCAACATGGCCCGACCTAGGCAGTGATGGAGAGAGGGGTTCAGTAACAATTCAGCACTTATTTTAAGAGGCATCCGTGTCGTGTTGCAGAGCTGCACCCCCCATCTCAAATCTACATAAGCTTTTGTGAATGTGTTTGAATTATCCAAATTACTTTTTATTAGCTAATAAAGGATAAAACACAAGCCATGGCTCTGTTCATTCAACGAAAGTGTAAAATTCTCAGACTCGGGGATGAGAGCCCCTGTCGTGTCCCACGCCTTTCTGTGGCAAACAGAAAAGCAGCCCTCCCATGATGTCCACGTCCTGATCTCCAGGATCTGCAAGTGTGTTACCTTGTGTTGCAAAAGGGAGTTTGCGGATGTGATTGATGTGTGGCCTCAGGATGGGGAGAGTATCCTGCCTTACCAAGCTGAGCCCTATGTCATCACAAGGGAGGCAGGAAGTTTGGAGGCAGAGGGGGGATAAGGGATAAGGGCAGGAGCAGGGGGTCAGAGTCAGATGGAGATTTGAAGACGTTCCGCTGCTGGCTTTGCAGATGGAGGAAGGGGTCACAAGCCAAGGAAGGCAGGCGGCCTCTAGAGGCTGGAAAAGGCTGGGAAAGGGGTTCTTCCTGAGAGCCTCCAGATTGAACCAGAGCTTTATAGCCCATTTGAGACTGACTGTGGACCTCTGGCCTCCAGAGCTATAAGAGAATTACTCTACGTGTTTTAAGCCTCTGCATGTGTGATCGTTTGTTAAAGCAGCAATAGGGAATAAGTATGCCATCCCTCCTCCCTTCTGGCAAAATCTAGAGTATGCCGTGGGAGTGCAGGGAGAAGGAAGGGAGGGGTCATGAGGGACTCCCTTGGGTGACAGCAAGGATCTGTGGACTTTGTCAAGAGGTCACAAACCAATGGTTGGAAGCGAGGGAAAGTGGGCACTGGGGCACTGAACCTCCCATCTCCACCTTCCGCCTCGGCAGAGGAACCCCCGGCCTGGGGGCCCAGAGCCCCACATGCCAATGACCACTGAGTGCTGTGGGGAGCCTAATGCAGTCGCTGAGGATTGAGCACTGGTGATCTGTGTGCCAGGCGCCACCCCAGGGCTTCAGGCGGCCAATCTCTTAATAATCATGACAACCCTGACTATTATCCCCCTTTACAGATGAGGAAATCGAGACTCAGAGAGGTTTAACAACTCTCCCAAGATCACACAGCGAGTAACGGGCACCACGACCTAAACCCAGCCTGTGTGACTAACAACTATGTTACTCTGCCATTAGTCCCCAAATCTTAAGGACATCCCCTCCCGCGCCCCCCTCCCCCGGCACAGTGCAGTCCCCTAGGGGCCCTGCCAGGGAGAAGTGCAGCATGGGTGTGCTGACAAGCCTCAAGGAAGCTGCCAGCGAGTCCAGACTGACAGAAAACTGAGAGAATTATTTTTTTAACTTATTTTTTTAAGATTTTATTTATTTTTATTTGAGAGAGAAAGCGAGCATGCACACGCACGCACACAAGCAGGGGGAGTGGGAGAGGGAGAAGCAGAGTCCCCGCGGAGCAGGGAGCCCGATGTGGGGCTTGATCCCAGGACCCCGAGATCATGACCTGAGCTGAAGGCAGAGGCTTCACCGACTGAGCCACCTAGGCGCCCCTCGAGAGGAGAATGACTGCTCACAGGTGTTCACGGCAGCTTGCACACACCATATCAGCTAGTGGTGGCGTGAGTAATAGCCCCGGGTGACAACCAACCACAGACCCTCCGTGGCATCCGATGACAAGCATTTCCTATTCACACCTCTGAGGTCAGTTGGGGGTCAGTTAGGTGGCCCCAATGATTTGGGCTGGAATCACCCCTAGCCAGGGCTCTGCAGCCGCTGAGCCGGTCTGGCTGGGACAGCTCAGCTCCACGTGTCTCTCACCCCCCTCCTGGAAGGACATGGCAGAGTGACAAGGCCGAAGGCGTGAGTACAGGGAAGGCTGAAGAATCAGGCCCACGTTGGCAATCCCAGCCCCCCCACATTACCTCTGGCACAAATTAAGAGCACAAACTATGACAGGGCACTCACTGGGACGAAGCTCTGCACTCCACCACCACTGACAAGGAGGATCATGGCCGAGTCACTTAGTCCCTCAGCGCCTCAGTTTCCCTA